GGAGGTGGGAGGGTGTCCGTCCGCCCGCTCTTCTCTATGGTTCCGGTTCCAGGCTCCGGACTTCCGGCTGGCTCCCTGCGTTGCCATGTGCGAGGTGCCCGAAGAGGTTCAGCGCTTCCTGCAGCAGCACCCGGTGCTGCGCCTCGTCGAGCCGGGCAACAAGGCGAGCGGGAGGGGAGGGGCGGGGGGGCCAAGGGGGAGGAAGTATGAGCCTGGGGGAGGGTTCCCCGCTAGATCCCGCCCGCGGTGCACAGGGAAGGGGTCCGCTGCCTCCTCCCTCCCCTGCTGTGTGTGGGCTCGATGCAAGTCAAGGCGATTTAAGTCATTGCTTCACCTCCATTTCCCACTGCTGCCACCTCACCCATTTATTCAAACAGGGGTGCGAATCTGATCACTAAACCATGTTAATTGACAGCTCAGGGCAGCATTTTACAACATCGAAGAGGGTTACACCTCGTGTATTTTTTTAATATTTTTTTTTAGGAAATGGTACATAATACTCTTTGGCTACGTCTAGACTGGCATGATTGTCCGGAAATGCTTTTAAGGGAAAAGTTTTCCGTTAAAAGCATTTTCGGAACCGAGCGTCTAGATTGGCACGGACGCTTTTCCACAAAAGCACTTTTTGCGAAAAAGTGTTCGTGCCAATCTAGACGCGCTTTTCCGCAAACACAGCCCCGCCGTTTTTGCGGAAAACAAATCTCAGCTGTCTACATTGGCCCTTTTGCGCAACAGTTTTGCGCAAAAGGGACTTTCGCCCCAACGGGAGCAGCGTAGTATTTCTGCAAAAAGCGCTGATTTCTTACAGTAGGAAGTCAGTGCTTTTGCGGAAATTCAAGTGGCCAATGTAGACAGCTGGCAAGTTTTTCCGGAAAAGCGGCTGATTTTCCGGGAAAAACTGGCAAGTCTAGACACAGCCATTATGTGTGCCGTGCAGCAGCAGTACTTTAGGAATAGTAAAAACTAAATTACACATACAAACACAATAGTACTTATATTTTATTCAACTAAATCTGAAATGTTCCATGAATGCTTCACATTTGCAATCGCAGCAATCTTCTGAGTTGTTGGCTGTCCTTACACTTTTTTTTTAATTTTCCAATTTTATTAACTCAGACAGACAAGTCATCAGAACACTAACTCTACAGTATCCTTAAAACTTCTACAACTAGCTCTCTTCCCCAATACCACTGTCATTTTTATGCAGCTCTGATGCCAAGTTACCAAAAAAGCTAAGATTGGCTGTTTAGAGTGCACTTAATTTTGGAGTATGCCCCATTGAAAACAAGTGTAGGATGGGGTTCCTTTTGGAAAGCTGACTTCTGATGAAGTAAAATGGCACCACCATTATGGTCTGTGGCTATAATGTTCCAAAATGAGGGGTATATATAAAAAAACAAAATGACAGTGGCAACTGGTAACTCTAGATTTCTTAATGCCACTTTCTATACTGTATACTCAAGTGATAGATTCTAAACATAGTTAACTAATTAAGCTATAAGAATTAGCTAAGCTAAACTTTTTCTTCTAGCAATATCTAACAGAGCAAATAGCTTGGGAATTTACTTGTTCAGTCACACATACTTTAAAAGGCATAGAGGGAGTCTAGAATAATGATGCATTGCAAAGTCGATCCACATTGTTCTTCAGACAGATCCACATCATTTTCCTCCAATAAGCAGTTTTCCTCATGATGTTTCATTCTTGCAGCTAGCTCCTGTATAATCTTCTCGCACTGCTTACACTTGACATCCTTTCCGTTTTTTACCCAGGGAACATATTTGTTCAAACTATTCCCAGACAGGGACTCTTACACCCAGGAGTCATGACAGTTTTTCTATGGCGAAAGTATAGAGGAATATAGGAAGCTGTGTGTGTGAAGAATAATGTCGTCCCTTTTCCTTTCCAGTCCACTCCATTGTTCCTTTCTATGCTGCCTCTGTCCTTTCCTGTATACTGTGTCTCTATCTTTAGACAATGCCTTAACTAATTCTGCCATGTTTGGCTCATGTCCACTACCACAAAAGCACAGAACAAAAACAGTCCTATCTAACCTGTGTCTTTGCACATTTAGTCTGCTGAGAAATAGAAATTGAAAGCCCCAAACTTTGAAGAAGCAAGAGCTGGTTGTTAGGCTGGACAGACTAGAGCCATTAATTCATGTTTGTGAGACTGTGAGTGTATGTGTAGCATGTTTGTGATAAGATTTAATGAGACTGTGAGTGTATGTGTAGCATTTTTGTGATAAGATTTAATTGTAACTGTTATTTTTAAATGAGAAATTAATATTGATGATTTAAAAAAAAATAGAATCTGATTTAAATAAAAAAATCAGATTTAAATTAAGAAACCTGATTTTTTTTTTAAAATCATTGATTTCTATTTATTGCAGGGAAGGTCACTTGGTGGTGTTGGAGCCAGGGAGGCAGAGTGAGAACTTTATGCCTAGCCTAGGAGCTGCAAAATCACAGGGGCCTTTGCATTTCTCCAATAGGCTGTTTTCTTCTCTTATGGGCTGCTCAGGTGAGATGCAGGTTGACGGGCCATGAGCTGCCATGTCGGATGCCGGAGCTGCAAGCTTATACTAGTGGCAAGAAGTATCTGAGACTGATAAAGACAGCAAGAGCATTCGACTACAGCGAGTTTGAACCACACATTGTGCCCAGTACCAAGAATCCGTGCGTGTCTATTTCTTCCTTAATGGTCACTTGGAGCTCTTGCTAATATTAATTGCATGTTGAATGGGGGTAGTGATACCCGAGTGTTTAAGTGGGTCAACATCCTGTGGGCTGGACAAGCATTTGTAAAATAGAGTTGGGAGCTATGTACTCTGAACTGGCTACTTAGTGCAGAGACTCTAAAAGTTATTTTATTTAATAACTTTACTAAACTCTCATTTATTCTCTAGCCATCAGTTGTTTTGCAAGCTCACTCTCAGGCACATCAACAAGCTTCCAGAGCACGTGCTGCGTCATGTCCAAGGAAAACGCTATCAGAAAGCGCTGAAAAAATGTAAGTGCCTCTCTCATTTTCTGTCACGTTTTTGCTCTTTCCTTTCTGATGATTAAATCCGCTATAGTGTTTGGAAGTTATTCTATAATATGGTAGAAACAGAGCAAGGCCTTTGTATGCTTCTTCTGGCCAGCAGGGAAAAGTGATCTTAAAAGTAGAGATTAGTAATTTCCTTTAGGAAACAAACTGGAGTGTCTACTGTAGAGTAGCAATTCTTTACACGCTTTAATTCAGGGATTGTCTTGTAGACAGGTTTCCTTCCATTTGTGATCCCGTAATATCCTTGTGGAAACTATCACTTGTGCTGAAAATATAATTAGAGAATTGTCTACTTTTTTAGCTGCCCTTAAATACAATTTTGCACCAGTTCCTCTCCATTTCCAACTGCTAAGTGACTAGCCACTTATTAGAAGAGCACAACTGGAGAACTTCTTGGACTTCACTAATGTAAACCTGCATAACAGCTTGAACCTGTGGATAATTGTTAATGCTTAAGACAAATTTAGTCTGGCTCTTAACTCGTGTTCCTTGTAAGCCGAGTGCTTGGGCAGCCACGCACAAGAGATTCAGATGCCACCCAGCTAAGTAGCGGACCGCTACAGCTCCCTGCATGTGCTTCTACTGGTGGTGCACATAACAAAATTTACTGCACACACAGATGGAAAAAATCAGAGGGAACATTGCTCTTGATGTAGTTTTGCTTCATCGAGAATTGTTATGTTTCAGCATAGTTGTGTTTCGTCAGCAAAGGGACTGGGGATTGCAGGTTATAGGTGCCAGTGTTCACCTTCAGATAACCCAGTCGGATCCTGCCAGGTCAGTAGTGACTAAATGTTGGCATCTGATGGCTTCCTGATGGCCTCCATGAAACAAACTGGCATATCCCAGTCCAGGTTCTAGTGAGCAAGTAGCCACTTCATAAAAGCCATCTCCCCTGCAGTCACAGTGTCCTTGGATATTACTGGCATTCTTATCAGAGAAGCCAAGTCCTGAATGGACCAGGGAGGCTGAACTAAGCTGCAGCCCTCATAGTTATCTCCCAGTACGAGTTGAGGCCGTGTGTGTGGAAAGCTAGTGTTGCTAGTGCTGGTGAAATACTGCCTTGATGGACTCCAGTGTGGAAGTCGGTTGAGCTTGACACCTTTCACAGTCAACGTACACCCTCTATGCTGCCGCAAGAAAGAGAACTATGGGGAGGTGTGACACAAGTTTCAGCTCTCGGTCCACATTTGTGTGCTTAAAGTCTCTCTAAGTCTGCTTATAGACGGGGTTTGCATTTCTGACATTCTGCCTCGTACCATGCTCAGTTTCTAGTCCACTGTGTGTGTTAACAAGACTACCAAATTCTTGAACTGCTTGCATTGTTTGTGAATGAGCCCTGCCTGGTTTATTGTCAGATGAGGAGTGCCAGAAGGAGGGTGTGGAGTACGTCCCTGCCTGCCTCCTGCAGAAGAGACAGCGGCGGCGGCGAGATGACCAGGCCAATGGGAGCAGGCATCCCTGCAGAAAGGGAGAATTCTGGGAGCCTATGTCCAGTGAAGAGGAAGGAGAGGACACCGATGACAGCATGAGTGACCTATACCCATGTGAGCAGGAACTTTGGTGTTTTCTAACCGTCTTAAAGGGGCTCTGTTTCTGTTCCCCATGCCTCCTGCTTCTGGTTGGCTTATCAGCTGGGAAGCCACAAAGCCAGCTTAATTTAATGTCAGATCTGTTGGCAGCATGGAGGAGAAAATCTATTGTTGGTTGCAAAGCAAAAGAACAAAATGCTGGGAAAAAGAGATGTAGCTTTTCCTTTGCTAGCACTGGAAGGCAACAGCAGGACTGGAGCAGCCAGTGCTTTTACTGAGGTTCTTCCAGCAGGGGGAAACATGAGGCACATCTGTATGTGAGAAGGTGGTGATTCTTACGCACAAAATCCAGACTGGGCGGGAGTTAATCTTCTCCAGATCTTCGTTGTTAAAACACCACTTGCCACTGAGACAGAGATCGTACAAGAGGAGGTGGTCACCTCAGGACCTGCCGGAACCTGTGTGTTCACAGGCGATTTGCCTTTCCCAGAACAGTGCTGGAGCCTACAATCCCACCCACCCTGCAGAGGATTTCCTGCAAGGCACAATGGATTCCATGGAGTTCCTGTCCTAAAGAGACTGGAACAGAGGTGGGGTTGTAAGGCTACAGAAGTGTGTGCACTGAATACCCCCTGTAGCTGGGCTAAAAAAGGTGCTGGATGGTTACTACTGAAATACTGGGGTTATATGTGTCTTCTAGGTGTCTGGGTAGTAGTGTGCTGTCTGGGTATCGAGGATACTCAGCCCTTGCTTAGGAAAGGGCTGGAATCTGGTACTTCAGTTTGACAAAGTCACCTTTAAGAAAGTTGTCCCTGAAGCCCTGAGAGTGAGACTGAGCCAAAGTCGCAACCAGTGTACAGAGGAAACTGATCCCACGTTGGTTCTTGTTTTAGCTGAACTCTTCCCAGAAAAAAAGCCCACGGTGCAAGGCAATGGGGAAGGTGAGAATGACTTTGTGACGGACAGCGAGGAAGACGTGGCCAGGCCCGCAGAGGAGAGTGAGAAGATGGAGGAGCCCAGACGAGCTAGCAAGAAAAGAGGAAAGGTGAGTGCTGTGCTGCTATGCACAGCCGCATCAAGGGGGAGTGGTTGCAAAATCAGAGGTGATCCCCTCTGTGTGAGGAGCATAACACTAGACAGACTGTTAGACCAATGATCCATCTGCTCTCTCCTCTAAGAGGGGTTGATGCTAGAAGGGGTCAGACAGTATAAAATCTTGTGGAGGATTGTCTCTTCCTGAGCCTGGAAGTCAGTGACTGGCTGAGACCCTGGAGTACTGGGTTTCTATTCTTTATCTCAGCAAGGGTAACTGGGGATGTTGTTAATGCCCGATGCTGCTTTTGAATCCTACTCCTCGCTGCCTCAAGAATGGAAATCTTAGACCGAGGAGACAGAAGTGCCCTTTGGTCCTTAATGTATTTCTGCTAAGCTCCCCTTAATTGATCCCTTTTAGAACAAAAAGGCTGATAAGGTTTAGGCTGGCTCTTGTTGCCCATTCTCGGTGCTCCCGATTCTGCCTGTGGAGCTCTGCAGCTGGGCCTAAGTAACCTCCTTGCTGAAGAAAAGGATGATTGTAGAAGACAGCCCAGATGGGAGGAGATGGATTTCCTGTCTGTTCTTCCCCTGGTAGGAGCAGAGGAAGGCAATGTCATTTTATGGCTCAGTTCTATGAGGTGCATTTGGTACAGACACTGTGTGTGTTGGAAGAAAGGGAGAGGACTTTAAACAAGGGCTATGGGGAACTGGAGGCCAAGTCTTGTCCTTTACTAGCCTCGTGTCCTCAGTGATCAGGACTGGAATTGTACTGACATTCTCAGCTTGAAAAACAAGCAACTTGGTGGGACTTTTGGCCCTGACCACATGTGGTCACCTGGGCCAGAGGCAGGGAGCAGTTCCTGAAAAGACAGTGCAACGTTTCTCTCTCCACAGCCACAGCTGAGTTCCTTAAAGAAGAAATTTAAGAGTCACCATCGAAAACCCAAAAGCTTCAAGGCGGCAGCCAATGGCAAATAAACTTTTCTGTAAGTGTGAAATACTAGTTGGCTGGAGCTAGTTCTGTAGCGGGGTCGGTGTTCTACACAGGGTCAGGTGGCACAGATCCTACCAAAATGTCTGATGTCAGACCTTGCCTGAACTATTGTCAGGTTCCAGCCATCTGTTTCGGATGGGGTGGGGTAGGGTGTTCAGTAAGCTGGAGCTCAAATTGGGGAGGGGTTCTTAGGGTTGATTCTTGATATAAAACCCACTCTATAGCACTTCTTGCTGAAAGGATTGCCATTTTTATTCCATTTCCTGTCCCCACAGGAATCTGCTACCTGTGGCATAGAGGATATTAATACGCCAAAGGGAACACCGTCCCCAACAGGGTCACCAACCATGCACTAAGGCTGGATACAACAAAGATGCCAAAGTTTTATTTTGATGGTTTCCAAAAATCAAAACATTTTCAAACACAACTAAGATACAAAATACAGCATAAAATGAGATTTTATACCTATTTCTTTCCACAAAGCAAAAAAAAAAAAAAAAAAAAAAGTTGAATTCAGAACACTTTGCAAAACCAATTGGTAGATGACATCCTGCCTTTGAGGGAGCATTCCTATAGTGGGAGAAGTCACTGCATCAGTTTTGGGAAAGATGTGGTACAGCAGTGCACATGAGATACAGCTTAGCCCTCTTGCAAAGGACATATTGGCTAAGAAGCCATGGCTTGGGTATTGTACAGTCAGGAAGAGAGCAAAGGAATTTTTCCTAAACTGGAACATGCTTTTTGTGATGCCTGAACTTCCTACAGGAGAGAGGACTTTCATGTATCAGTTAGTGTTTGAGAGTCCCTCTTCCAAAGTGATTGAGCTCCTTACCTGGGCAGGATGAGGGAATCAGCTATAAGTTAGTTTAAGGGGTAGTTACAAGACCTTTCTACCTTTTAACTTATAAATACTTGAATCATCTGCCACAGCTGGAATGTTTGAAAGACTATTGCTGCAGAGAAGGGGAACTGATGTTTTCTAATCAGTAACTGCAGGGTGAAAGTCAGTCTCATTCAATACAGAAAGGGTGTCAGAGAGGAGGGTCTACTTTCCTGCACAATGAAGACACAGGCACTGCAAGAGCCATTGAGGCAAAACTGTTACCAAACCTGCTCTTAAAAAAAGGCCACACGGGTAACTCTTTAAACCCTCCTGATTGCAAATGAATTTAAGGACTCTGTCCAGTGAGCACCCCTCCAGTCTCTGCAGAGGCCATTCTCCTTTAGAGTGAGGTAAATGACAGAACATTCTAGGTGGCTTCTTCCTAAAATCCCACCTGCTGAGAATCCTGCTTTTCAGGGTGAAGGCAAAAGTGTTAAGTTGCACTGTCCTGGTCAATGGGCTTAGCAGCATTCCTGGGGGAGGAAAGACCAGGAGCTGGCTGCCTGCCTGCCAGAGATGGTGAGTTGTGCTGCTTTTCCACATGGGGATGTGAGCAGCTACTCTGAAGGGAGGCCCTGGTGCAAGAAATCAGGCCAGTTAGCTGCTAATTAAGGTCACAGGGCAAGAATCCAAGTTAGTAGGACTAGTACAAACACCCCTTCGCTGCAGGGGTGGCTGAGAGAAGGGGTTACACTTCTGGGACAGAGTCAGAGCCTCTTTCTCATTTTCTCCAGCAAAATGCACAGGTGACGATTAACTGCTTCAGTTACTTTCTCTTCCCTCCTCCCCCCCCAGCTGTTAAGACACTGCCCAGTAGGTTCCTCATTAGAAGTCTTTGAGGCAGGTGCCATTTGAGTCATAGGACCTAGACTCAGCACGGTAAGGCAGCACGCAGCTGATTTTTGCATACTATCTAGTGCAGGAACAATGACAGCAAAATGCACAGGTGACGATTAACTGCTTCAGTTACTTTCTCTTCCCTCCTCCCCCCCCAGCTGTTAAGACACTGCCCAGTAGGTTCCTCATTAGAAGTCTTTGAGGCAGGTGCCATTTGAGTCATAGGACCTAGACTCAGCACGGTAAGGCAGCACGCAGCTGATTTTTGCATACTATCTAGTGCAGGAACAATGAAGCCTGCTTGGCCAAGTGTTCTCTCCTCCCCCAGCCCATGAGTATGTGTGTTGGATGCCAAAGGTGCTTTTCCTTGAGAGTTCTGTACTTGCAAAATTTTATTTTTCACTGAGCAACAGCATCTAACAAGATGGCAGAAATGGATCAAAAAAGCAAAGAGTGCTGCAGGCTGGGAGATCAGACAGCTCTGAACCCACTGCTGAGGTGATGTGAACCTACATGCATTATGAAATGCTCAGCATATGAGCATCTGCTTTTCAGTGCCAGGAACAGGGTCTTCCACAGCACCACAAATACTGGTTCCACCAGCTTCTGCTTCAATTGAAAGAACCTGGAGCCACCTAGCTAAATACTGGTTGGGTGCTGAAAGGAGCTTTGTGGGAGTCGGAGCCTTGTTGGATGGGTGGGTGAAAAAATGCTGAAAGGATTGATTTTGGCACACTTTTGAAAATTGAAGTCTTGAGACCGTTCCTACTAACCTGCTTCTAACATCTTAACTCTTTCAAGCAACATAAAACCACTGCTACCCTGGTTCCACTCCGGAACAGAAATGTGACAGTTAATTTTCATTGCAGGAAATGCCGCTCCCCGCCTTTCCTCACCTAGAGAAGGATGCAGCTATATCTGACATTCCTTTTCTTCCCTCTCTCTGTCTTTGGGTGTGGAAAGGCCTTCCCCTTGCTTAAGCCTGGGTATATAAAATACTGTAATTTTTTAAAAACCAAATGTCTTAACTCTCCACTTAAACAATGTTCTAACCTGTGGCTGGATTTTATACACACAAGAGGATTTTTAGTTCAAGGGGAAATAGGGAATTCACTTGATAGTTAAAAAGGAAACTGAAAAAAATAACCAAATAGCACACTGAATGATACTGCTCTGGATGTGCTCACAGTACTTTAAATTTAAAAGCCATTACTGAAGTACTCCTTGAAATGTGGATTCCTGGGGTTAGTTCCAATTCTAAGGAGTTCAAAGCAATAAGCCTAGGCAGTGTTCCTGGAGGAAGTAGGATTCATCATCTATCATCAGGTTACTGGTGCCACTGTAAATTAAATTCAAGACATCTGTGCCTTTAATGGGAAGGTAGGGGATGGGGCAGGTATATGTAAAATGCTGGCAGTTTTTGTTGAATCCACAGAGCATCAGTCCTGGACCTAAGCTGTTGTGTCCTGGGAAGCTACTCTGCTCCCATTACCACTCTTTTTTCTTCTCGTCCATGGAGACGCCACCAGGCCCCAGCGCCACCACCAGGAGAAGCCCTCCAATGACAGACATGGTCTGGAAGAAGTCATACTTGAGGAAGTCATGCATGGGCTTGTAGGCCGGGATGGTCCAGAAGGCATTAAAGTAGATGTTGATGGCAAACAGCCAGATGACCAGAGTCAAGGCAGCCAGCTTGGTCTTAAAGCCAATTGCCACTAAGATAATCAGGGCTGTGCCCACGATGTTCTGGAGAATCTGCAATAGCGGAGGAGAGAGGAGAGTCAGGATTACACCTAGCTCTGTCAGGGTAGGTCTACATATAGAGCACGGCATACTCAGCATAGGTGCAAGTACAGGAGGCGCCTGAGTTCTGACAAAACTCCTGAGTTCCCGTGCTTACAAAAATGGTTAAGTGCAGAAGGGGCCGAAAACCCCTGACTTATGTCCTCAGCCCGCATTTGCGCTGGTACGTGGCGGCTACCATAAATGAGGGTTCAAGTTATGACACCCCTGACTTGCAATGCTTCCCCTGGAACCAATTGTGTCATAAGTCGGGGCCTCCTGTAGCACAGATAGCAAACCACAGCTGATGTGGGTTGAGTGTCTTACACACCTGAACACCCAGGGTATAAATCCTATATAGCCCTTGCACACCCAAGTTGTGCCTCCCATGTCTGCACTGCTAATTTTAGCTGTGTCGTGTCCTGTGATCTCCCCCTGCCATGCGGAAAATATCTGGCAGCAGAGAGCTGTTGGAATCTTTCCCCACAGCCAGAACCTTTCATGGCCGGGTGTACGTATAGAGGGCCTGTACCCTGCATGCTGCCTTTGTATAGGCAGCGCCTTAGAGAAATATGCATGTAGGGAGATGTAGTCACTGCAGCATCCAGGTAAAGACAATTCAACAGGTGGCCATGCTACAGATAACTTGCCCCAGTCTATTGCTAAATTATCTGACATCTGCTCTTCCAGTAACTAAAGGCTCTTTTCCCTCTGCCTTTAGTCATCAATGCTGCACTCATTACAATAATCTAATGGCAAGATTAACATGACTCATTTGCATGGGATCCTGGTACCAGTCCCTAGAATTTAGCTTCAAGCCAGCACTTCCTAACCGAAGATCTTGTTTTGAAGAGGGGAGCAGTTTGGGTTGGGGTTTCTCTGCTGTCATTCAGACCTGAAGAAATATATTATCCTACTGCTTGAAAACTCAATTAGCTAAGAGACTGATACTTTATCCTTTCCCAGCACCTCATGCTAAGCAGCTCATGTGCTTTACAGACATTAACTCATAACATGCCCAGGAGGTTAGAGCACAGTGTATCATGTTGACAGGGCCTAAATCCAGCAATCTTACAGAAGACCCAGTAAACCCAAGGAGGAATCGCACGAGAAGAATTGCTGGATGGGGACCCCATCCAGACTGGGACAGAGCAGGGAAGCCCAAAGCCATGACTCAGTTCTGTGCCAGATACTTACCGAAAAGAAGCTAACATCAAAATGTAGCAGTGTCATGAACATGAGGACCAGCAGCACACGGCCACCCAGCTGCATGTACTGTTTGGGGGAGCTTTCCCGCATGGTGGGGACCCCGGCAAACATGCTTTTCCCCTCTGACCGTGACTCAGCCAAAAGCAGCAGCAAGCCTCCTCCAAGGGCAAGGTTCCTGGGGAAGGGAGAGATGGGGGGAGGGAAGGCAAAGAGAAGAAAAATCCTCATGTCAGTGCAAGAAAAATAAAAGCCATACCATCCAGCAAGCTCTACGAGTCACAAAGATCATGCTGCCTGAAAGAGTGAGAATGCCCCCAGCAACCCTGAATGGGTTCTCACTACATCCCACAGCAATCTGCCCTGCAAGAAGTCCTGTTCCCCACTGATTCAGTAGGTCTTCTGACTGAGATCCAAGGGGATCTGGCCTTCGGGGCTTGCAACACTTAGAAGCACAGTGCAGAGCTGTGCAAGCTCCAGGCATTTATCAAAGATTGCAGACAGCAAGGAAGGCTGCATGCATTTTGTGGCATTTTTTTAAAATAGGAGCAAATATATAGGATAGTCTCTCACCCTGGGGAGTTGACTCCTTGCTCACAAATCACCCCTCATGACTCCTTTCTGCCTCACCATACATTGCCAAAACTTCCCCAAAAGTGCACTGGATGGTGGCAGGCTGCACAATGGGATATCTACCACTGTTCCCTGCTGTAGCTACCCAGGAGAAATTCAAACACGGCCCAGCTGATTAGCAGAACATTCACACATGGCAGCAGCTGGGAGCATGTTTCTCTACTAGTGGTGCTCATGCATTGGTGTACATACAATTTATTCCACACATGGATGGACAATTAGAGGGAACATTCATATCTACCCATGGTGCACTACACACTGACATATTCCTGGCCAATATGTACAGTATTGACACAAGGAGCCAAGCATACACGTGCACAAGCCATATATTGATTGCAGCAGCTTTGTGCGGACATATGTATTGACTAAAGATTCACGTAGACACAACCTGAAGTGTGATCATCATAAAGCGCACTTCATTCCTGTCCCTGGATGGGATTCACAAAAGCATGTTTGTGCAGCTAGCATAGAGATGTGACATTAACTAGGACCTACCTCATCAAGAACTTCAGATCCCATAGAATGCTGTAAGCAATGGTCTGGGAAGGGAGAAAAAAATACTTAGTCCATTTCTGCCTCCTTGAGAAGGGAAGAAAAAGCATTTAGGACTGTTCATTAAGTGCAGAACTTAATCAATCATGTCTTAAGGTACTTGTTTAAGAAGCGGTTTGGCATGACGACAATAAGGAGCTTTTATAAGAATCCATTTTGGACGAAGGTGGTAAGGATTAGCCCGGGTGCTTTTTATAGCACGGCGAGTCTGAGCTTTTTGCAGATAGTTAAATTAACCCCTATGAATCCTCTGTGGTGGTCAGCTATTCATCCCATTATACAGATGGGGAAAACAGAGG